AGAAGAGTATTCATGTTGAAATTAACATTTTTGAAAGCATTGTGTTGTTGATCTTTCCTTTATAAGTTTCTAATCTATGCTATGATGTAATTATAATGTCTATTCCAGGCTTTTTTTTTCCCCCTAAGAGCTTCGTCCACCAAGAACTTCCATACATGCAGTTTACAGTCAAAAGTGTTCACTGAATATTAATAAAACATTATAATATAAATAACAAAAAATGACCACTACTGAATTTTGGGCATCAGCAATATATTTAGTATTTATATTATGATTCATGTAATAAATTATTCTGATTTTATCCACAGATAAATTATAAAAAGGCAGTTTTTTTTGTTTTATAAAGATTGTTTTCTAAACACAATCAATGAAACAACATACACATTATCACACAATTCTGTGTGTTTTTAACTGTTGAGCAGCAGAGCAGAGATTAACTTAAATCCAGATGCTTTTTCTAAAGCGAACTTGCATTTTGACATTCATTCCTCTCGCATGTTCCCTTGCTTTATCGCCTATTGGTGCCTATCTCATACATAAGGGAAATTTAGAGTATACAATGTTTAAATGTGAGAAAACCCGGAGGAAACCTGTGCAAGCACGGGGGAGAACATGCAAATAGCCTCGAACCAGTAACCTTCTAACTGAAAGGCCACAATGCACCACCGTGCTGACCGAAAATTCAACAAATTAACCCAGTTTATCAGTTTTCGCTTTCCCCCGGCCTTGTTTGTGCAAAAGATGAAATTTTCATGATATCCTGTGTTTATGCTCATAAGATGTTTGTACCAGTCTTCGGTACTTTGAGATAAGTACAGTTTGTGCTTCATGTTTCCATTTTTTACAAACCTTTTGTAATAAACTGTTATTTATTTTAGTTCTGCAAACTTCCAAATTGACTATGGTGTTTTAATTAATCATAAGTCAAATGAGTAAAATCTAAATAAATATTCTTCATTATAACGTAAATGAATCAGTGCAGCTTGCCACGAAAGCAGCACCTACAGTTAGGGATTTGATTTATTTTAAACAATAAATTGCTACAATTCTCTGTAACAGACTGTGTGTGTGTGTGTGTGTGTGTGTGTGTGTGTACCCCAGTAGATGCTGGGTTAGGCTCCAGCACACCAAATTAGGCAATAAGTGGACATAGATAATGGATTTAACAGTTAAAAAAAAAAAAATATCATGTGAATATCACATGAAGAAAAAAAAACATGTCTTGGGGTGACCAGGTGAGTGCATTTCTGTTTCAGGGCAGGTAATCTTTATTAAGAGGTAGACCTGATCTGTCATTCATGATCAACCCCTCACCTCTGGGCTAAGTGCCAGGGCAGAGCGGGTGTTATTCTTCCCCACAGGGCATTGTGTGACTCAGAGCTCAGCCTCAATCAATGTTGCTGTCTAGCTGAGGCCGTGTCGCGACCTTTGATTGGCATCACAGGACAGAATAAATCAACTACTAAATACAGCAATTCTCATTTCCTAATAGGTTCATAACTGAACAAATGATAACAGACAGCAGCATTGCAGATACTGTTTCTAGAACAGAGTTACACTTGTTTCTACTGGTTTATTAGAATCAGTGCTGCTCTGTTCAGAATAATTGAAATGTGTTAATTTTACAAAATAATTGTGATTTGTTTTTTAATGCATCTATTTTTTCTCCATGTCCGATTGAAATGGTTGCTTCAAAAACCAGTAGAGACAGGCATAAATTAGCATCCTACATGATTGAGAGGATGTAGAAGAGGACACAATATACAGCTGTCTCTACGAAAACTACACGGCTGTTGAATTATAAATGGGCAACTTAACCAACGCTCTTTTTGTAGAACTTCCAATAACAGAAATAAACGTTATCAAATTGTACTTTTGAAGCCCATTTATGAATCAATGTTTACTGTTTAGGGCCATTGTAAGAGATACTCACCAAAGTAGCTCCAGGCCAGATTAATGTTCGTAGTTTGTGTGGTCCGAATGGTCTCAAAATATTTGCATTAGTCACACAGTAATAATTACGGCAACCATACATTTGGAAATGGAGATATTGCTATTATAAATTTAATAAAATAATAAATATTGCATGCATGTAAGATATTGCAAACTGAGTCTACTAAACCAGTTATTCCTTCCTTTTATTTACAAGCGTTTCCTTTTGCGTCACCAGTTCATCACAGGGCTAAACCAGGTACACTAGTAAATGAAGTTGTAATCAAACCATAAAAAGAGCCTTTATGAACCTGCTTCACCTACTTACTCGAGTAGGAGATTCAATCTATGTCTATCTATTTTTTTTTTACAAAATAGACTTGGGATTTTGGGTTAATTAAATGTACAAGAGCATAACAAGATGGTTAAAATTTGTACACAAACCTTGATGCTGATTCATAAAAGTGCAAATTAAAAGTATATTTTAATATAAGCCAACCCCGATGTCTCTATGACTTTCCTTAGCTGAAATAGAGATGTGGCACATTTGTGGCTATAGCAAGCAGTCTGGTTGCTATGGAGGGTCAGTGGCTTCATTTAAGTCACTTTAACTGAAAAAAAAAATCAAACCCCAAGCTAAGCTAGAGATTTGGATAATTGGTTACTAGGGTAAACAGTTTGGTTGCTAGAAGTTGTTAATGATGTCATATATAAAAATGATGACTATGCCCATTTCTTTGTGATGTTTCATCTTGAATATAGTTGTGCTTTTCCCATTGATTGTCAAAGGCCATTATAAGTCAATGGTAATCCTTTTACAACATGGGGTTCAAATTATTTTGCTGGTGAGTAAGGAGATTGGCTGATGAGCTAAGCAAGAAGTTTCAATGAGGTTCTCAGTTTCACAAAATTGGACCTCATGTTAAGAGAATCCAGAATTCTTTTAGTGGTATCAGTCTGAAAAGATATAACAACCCAGAGTCAGATCAGTTTGGATGTCTTTTCATAAAGAGCAGTTTACTGAACAGTGACTAGCATTGTTTCATATTGCGTTTGTTGAAATGGAATTATGTAAAACCTATTGCGCTTGGTCAGGGCTGCCAGTTGGAATATGAAGGGTGTTGATAATGACACTTTACAATGTCAATGGTTGAGTCAGACACAACACCAGTGGTGGGTTTTAGGCACTGGTGAACGGGGTAGTTTTTTATGTCACGCGGGGGCAGCACACGAAATTGTGGAGGGGGGGCATGGGACAGTTCACCTCTCCCAAATGAAGAGGATAAGCAGGGGGGACTTTCGTACAAATAACCCACACATTTCATTCATAATACTATAAACACAGAGCAATAATTAGCACATTTTTTAACACATGTGTTTTATAATCAAATTTATAAATTTGGTGACACTATGTATAAATGTTAGCATAGTGGTAACACTGCTGCCCTTTGCACGGGAGACTGGGGTTCGAAGCCTGGACAGGGAGACCTTGGATAAATAGTATGAACATATATTTTATAATCGTTTATAAATGGTCAAATTTATAAAGTAGGAACGGTGGTGACACTACATATATATGGTAGCATAGTGGTAACACTGCCGCCCTTTGCACGGGAGACTGGGGTTCGAATCCTGGATAGGGAGACCTCTGATAAATATTGGGAACATATATTTAATATCGTTTATAAATGATCAGTTTTATAAAGTAGTAATGGTGGAGACACTACATATATATGATAGCATAGTGGTAACACTGCCGCCCTTTGCACGGGAGACTGGGGTTCGAATCCTGGACAGGGAGACCTCTGGTAAATAGTTTGAACATGTATTTTATAATCCTTTAAAAATTGTCAAATTAATAAAGTAATAATGTTGAAAACAGTTTGAACATGTATTTTCTTTTATAAATTGGTCAAATTAAAAGACTTTTTAATAAGCAAATTTTTAGTAAGTGACTTAAAAAAATCTATGCATCTATACTAATCTATAGTCATCTATAATTTTAGAAAAAAGAATTCTACAATTTGGGCCTACTCATTGGGCCTTGGTCTCTGGCTCATTGGGGGGGGGGGTGCAAAATGTAGAATTCTTTTTTCAAAAATTATAGATGACTATAGATTAGTATAGATGTTCTGTACTATTATTATAGATGTATAGATTTTTTTTTAAAGTCACATTAAAAAGTCACTTATTAAAAAGTGACTTTTTAGTAAGTGACTTTTTAATAAGTACTTTTTAATAAGTGACCTAACAAGTAAAAAGTGACTTATATTTTTAAAAGTGACTAGTTTTAATATATGTATGACCATTTTTAAATGACAATAAACTAATGTGACTTGAAAAAAAAATCTATGCATCTATACTAATAGTGCAGTACATCTATACTAATCTATAGTCATCTATAATTTTAGAAAATAGAATTCTACATTTTTGGCCTGCTCATCGGGGCTTGGTCTCTGGCTCATTGGGGGTGGGGGAGGGGGGCAAAAATGTAGAATTCTTTTTTCTAAAATTATAGATGACTATAGATTAGTATAGATGTACTATACTAATAGTATAGATGTATAAATTTTTTTGTCAAATTAAAAAGTCACTTATTAAAAGGTGACTTTTTAATAAGTGACTTTTTAATAAGTACTTTTTAATAAGTGACCTAACAAGTAAAAAGTGACTTATATTTTTAAAAGTGACTAGTTTTAATATATGTATGACCATTTTCAAATGACAATAAACTTTTTAATAACTGACTTTAAAAAAAAGTAAAGTAGAAACGATATATGTAGGATCGAATAGTGGTAACACTGCCACCCTTCACATGGGAGGCCAGGGTTCGAATCCCAAACTATACAATTACACAACATCATTTATATTTGGTATTTTGGTTGAACATTATGTAATGTCTTAGTAAAATAGTAGCACTTTATGAAGGATAGAGTAGTGGTAACACTGCCACCCTTCACATGGGAGACCAGGGTTCGAATCTCAAACTATACAATTACACAACTTCAATTATATTTGGTATTTCAGTCAAACATTATGTAAAGTCTTAGTAAAATGGTAGCACTATATGTAGAATAGAGTAGTGGTAACACTGCCACCCTTCACATGGGAGGCCAGGGTTCGAATCCCAAACTATACAATTACACAACTTCATTTGTATTTGGTATTTTGGTTGAACATTATGTAAGGTCTTAGTACAATGGTAGCACTATATGAAGGATAGAGTAGTGGTAACACTGCCACCCTTCACATGGGAGACCAGGGTTTGAATCCCAATCAGGGCATACCTCCAGTATGGGAACATATATATATTTAACCATAAATTTTTAAGATATTATTCATATTTAAACTGCATTGCATGAAATCATGCTGTGAATTTTTGAGGGATCTTTTTCCAGCTAAAACATCTTAATTATAGTCATCAGGATGCATGTTTTCTCTCTTTTTTGTGTGTTCAAAGGTCTGTTCCTTAATAACCATTAGACAGTGATTCAGAACTAAGAAACTACGTTGACTTATTGCTACCACACGTGTAAATTTTTTCCACTGAATTATTAATTTAATTACATAATTTATAAAATTACATAATTAAGTCGTAAAATCAACATAATTCACAATTATTTTAAATAATTTTACTGTAAAACTGGAATTATTTGTGCAACATTGACCACAACAGCGGCTCACTTTACCAAGAAAAGCAAATTAATGTGCAATTGACCACTTTAGGATTTTGTGAACCACTACATTTTAAATGATTAGTGAGAATAATTTAGCCCAAAAGTTTGAGAAAAGTACATAAATGACTAGGGCTCTCTGTGTGTAGACTGATAACATTCAGGGATTTGCCCCACCTATAGGCCATATACAACAATGGATGCAATGACCATGACACCATAGATTTCTGATGAAGGGTTTTGAGGCTCAATTTGGGCATAGCCTACACACCCTGTCGTGTGTCACTTCCAGGCAAAGGGTAAGTGGTTTGTCTCAGGTTTCAAGCATATTTTGCAGACTGGTGTAAAATTAAGCACTTTAACAATGGGTGTCAATCTACATCTTATTACATCAGCCTCTTGTGGCCAGTGGATGAATTGCAGTTTCATTCATTTTCTATAAGGCATCCAGGGAGAAAGCAAGCCATTGTAGATGGGTTCCCTCCAAAAACAATTCTCGCCCGTTAGGCTGCCTAACAAACTAAAAGACAGCACAGATTCTGCACATTTTTATTTTTATCAAAGAATTGTTGAGATTTGTTCTAACATTTTCTTTCAGCTTACACAGAAAAAGGAAAATTGACAGCAGGTATAAAGGTTAAAAATAACACAAGACATTAATATAGATGAATGTGTAGCATGCAAAATGCAAAATGAATCCTATAAATGACGTAAACGTTTATTTTCCCTAATAGTCAGCAACACAGAGGTTGAGTGTAACAAACAGATAGATGTATGCACAAAGTGATAAGGCAAAGCTCAAATGTAGGGGAAACAGTGATATCTTTCACATCTAGAGAATTTAGTTTGTGTTAGTGCTAAAAGCAAGCATTTTGATTAGCAGAAAATGTTTGGAGAGTTTGGTAGGCAAAAAGCTACTAATTACGCTTGTTCAAAATGTACCGGTATTGAGGCTAACGTCTTCTGCTCTCTCTCAGTCACATGACTAGAGGCCTCAGGGTTTGCTGTGTCACTTGGCTCAGAAAATTGTCTCTAGTTGGGAAAAGAGGATATTACAACAAAAATTACTCATAAAAGCTGTAGACCAACGATGTAATTGAACAAGACGTGGTCCATGTTTGTTTACTAATATATTGGTTTATTTAATCTAAAGTGAAATGTTTTTCCTGGGGAAAGTTTCCGGATTAATCATTTGTGCTTTCGCTGACACAACATTGTTCAGGGCAGGGTTTCTCTACAGTGAATATGGAACAGCAGGGTTTCTCTACAGTGAATTCATTTATTTATTTTTTTAACAGAGGGAAAACCACTATTCTCTTAAAGTCCACATTGATTGTGATGCTAAGGGTTTGGATAATTTGATGCTAAAAGAGACAATAACTTAACACCTCCCTTACTCTATTAACACTACTCTATTGATTTTTTTTTTTTCAGAACCTTTCTACACAGTAAAATCCTAAGAATTAAATAACTCTACTCGGAGTATATTTGGCCCCATTCTATATAGAGTTAAACCTACTCTGAGAAAGAGTAATTTAATAATCTATTTTCTTCATGTTTTTCCAAATCTGCATGGAAAATGCAAACTAAATATTAACTATTCAGAGAGGGACCAAGTCCACTCCAGAAAGAGTAAAAACAGACAAAAATAGACTGTTTAGTTCAAATAGACTTATTTAAGTAACTCTCCTTCAGAGTTGGTTTAACTCTATATAGAGTGGGACCAAAAACACTCTGAGTAGAGTTAATTTAACTCTTAGGATTTTACTGTGTAGGCTCTCACAGGATTTAGTCAAAGCAAGTCTACCTATTCTCTTAACTCTGATTCTTTCTGCCAATAAACCTAATCACAAAGATTCTCAACACGTTCATTACATGGTGTCAAGTCCCAAAGAGAAAGCATACACTTTACAAATCCATTAAGTAAAAAAATAAACACATTTAATCTAATAACAAACACATGACAAAAAGGCATGGAGGATGAGAAAGTCAAAGATAAAGGTGTGTTTACCTACCAGCTCAAGAAACGTGTTCTCCAGAGATTTGTACTCAGGGGAACTCTTGTTGAAAAGGTCCTCGGAAAACATCATATTAGTCACACGCAAACTGAAAAAGACTACCAACTCCTTGGCCTGGTTGGATGCCATCATTGAAGGTGTGGTAATGAAACCAAGAGGCCTTGCAGAAGATTGTGGACTTTCGTCAATCTCTAATGGAAAGCCACTCCCAACCTCTAGTACCTCGTCCTCCTCATCTGACTGTTCTAAATCTTTTTGAGTGCCTCTCTCATTATCGACACTCTCTTGGTGTGGGATAGTTGAAGCTGTCCAGAGTGTTTGCCCCCCTTCATCTTGGAAATTGTCAGGGGTCATGTGTGAAATGAGGTCCTCGGTGGGAATTGCTGCTGAGAGAATTGGATCATGAGTGGCAGGTCCAACGGGAGACACCTTTTGATGGAGCGTGTCTATGGGGGCAGTGACAGATGGGTACTCTGTGTAGTCACTGGGGTCAATTGAAGTGGCCAATGCTGTTTTATCACCTGGACTAGAAGGGTATATGAGAAGACCTTCAGTAGTGAACTCTAAAGGCTGTGAAGGGTCAATTGTTCCATCTTCTTGAAAGATACCATCTTCAGCTTGTTCAGAGGGACTTAAAGAAGTCGGGATTGATGATGTTGCTTCTGCAAAAGTGCTCTCTGGTGTCAAATCAAAATTCATTTCTGTTTGAGCTGAAGTAGGTGGACTTTCTTCTTCTTCTTCTTCTTCAGGTGTTGAAACAATTTGATTGCTTCTATCCTCTTGGATTTCAGATTGGTAATACATTGTAGTGGTGCTTGGGGAACCTGCAAAACAAAGTGGCGAGTGTCTTAAAATGCATCTAATGCAAAATTTCAATTAGTTTTTTTTATTCTTTAGCTGCCAAATATCAGAGTCCTTGTTTAGAAGTAGGGCTCTTGAACCGGTTTGACCACAAATATGAGAGTTTCACCTTCACGGCTTGAAGTGTCCTCAATTATTAGACTTCCGCTCTTTGAACCTTCAAGGTTTGAGCTGCTGATTAGCTCTGTGGCCACTGGTAGCAGAGTAACAAGAGATGATACATCTAGTAGTGTTTGCGTGAAAGTCCTTTCGGGGTTTACATCTCCAAAATGGATGCCTGGACTCCCAGAAGGTGCTATAGTGTTTTCTGTGTCAGTATGTGTTGCATTGTTGTCCTCCAGGAAAGTTTCTTTGTTGATTTCAGTCCTGGAAATTGTGGTTTCCCTCTTGCCTTCTTTTGAGGAGTCTGTGAAGGATAAATTAGATCATGTTAAATAACTGGAAATTATTCAAGGCTCACACTGATTGTGTGTACCTGGTTCAAATTTAATGGAATCCACGTGTACAGGAAGGGATGCGTCTTCACTTAGCGCCATCACCACCATGCTTTTTAGGAGCTCCTGTATACCAAATTCATCAGTGGGGCTTGTATCAGCTCTTTCCTCCGTCTCATCGGTTTCAAACACTACAGCAAAGCTTGCTTCTGTACCCCCATCTCTGGTGGTTGTCAAGAAAGGTGCTGTTAGTTGTCTGAATTGTAGTTTTATAATGTTGATTAAAATGTTTCTTTTAGATGTGCAAGGGTGACACATCTTTCAAAGCTTTTGAAAAGTAGATTAAAACGAACCAGTCTATATATACCCAGTGGTTATGACCCAAACTATCTGATAATTTCTTAAGTTTTACTTTACGCTTGAACTACCAAACATATCGGTATGCAGTAATTGAGCAGTAGTTCAATGAGCACTTCTTAAAATCTTGTCCCAAGCTGGCCCTATGGGGAATATAAACATTAAAAAATACAATTTTCAAGCTCAATGGACAGCAACATCTTGCTGAATCCCACATAGACTGACTCAACTTACCTAAATCCAAGCATTTGAATTTCTTTAAACCCAGGAAGTTCGTCGAGAGCATGCAACATCTGCAGAGAAAAAGAAATAACATTTGTTTTAGGCACATTTCTACTTTTCCCTCATTATTCAACAATCTATAAATGGGCTGTAAAAATTAACGTAAAGATTGTTTTCATTTTAAAAATTCTTTTTTTTTAGATTTTAGGAGTATATACTAGGGGTGTAACAATATATCTTGGCACAATACAAAAGTCACAAACCATATCGTGGAATTACTGGGATAAATCGCCTAGGAAATGAATTGGTTGTTAGTGTAGGTGTTTCTAGTCACTTCTGAAACTTCGTTAAGCTTTCTTTCTGTTTTATTTAATATTTATTAGTACACAATTACTCACATTTCAAATGAGAAACAGTATAAAATAAACTCTCTTCATCGTTTGGAGTGAAAAGGAAGACTTAATGTAAATATTAGCACCGCCCCCTAGTGGGTGGATTATATTAAATGTTCACAAATCAAACTAGACTTTAGCCTTCTTAGCTTTGTGGTCTCGAAACTATTCAATTCTTCTTT